CTGCAACTAATTATGCTTTTGTTAAAGTGTGATGACCACTGCTGTAAATAATTCTTCACCTGAGGCATTGCCAGTTTCAAATACTGTGGAATACTTACCTGTCTATTGACAAATGTAACACTCTTGGGGGAAAAAAAATTATTATAGGATTAGTTGGGTGTTTTTATTTTTCTTTTTTTCTTTTTTCCCCATTAGCAATTGTTAATATATATTTGGATTGTGATTCACTGTAACTCCTTTTTATCCATTAAGTCAGACATTTCTCATTTTACTACTTGTGCATTTAATTTTTCCAGTCTAAGTACAATGGTTTGTGCTTTTATTTCCTGCACTTGTTGGAATTCCAGACTATTTTCTCCAACTGATGAAGATAATTTTGGACTGCAATCCTGAACTTGCCACGTTCCCTCAAGTGCCTGTCACCCTCCATCTAGGTGTCATCCAAAAACCCGGTATATGTACTCCCTATTCTGTCAGGCACATTGCTAATGAAAATTTAGAGTAGCAGCAAGCATGGAACGGACTCCTGTAGATCCTGACTTGTAGTGATCTTTTGTTTTGACAGGAAACCATCAGCAACTACTCTCAGTACAGTTTTTCAATCTGTTGTGCAACCAACTTCTAACAATTTCACCTGGACCATATTCCCCTACTTTACAACACTGTCACATAGGACTGTATCAACCCTTATTAAAGCCAAAATATATCACGTCTATTTATTCCCTATTATCCATTAAACCAATTACCCTGTCAAAGGAGAAAATTAGATTGGTTTGACGTGATTTGTTCTTGACAAATTCATGTTGGCTGTTTCTTATCACCTTATTGTCCCCTAGGTGCTTACGATCTGATACTTTAATAATTTGTTCTAGATACCAAGCATAACTTAAATAGGATATAAGTCCTCTAGTCCTGCTTCTTTCCCCATGAAATTAGAACCATAGTAAAATCCTGTGGAGTTATATTGCATCCTTATCCTCCAAAAAATCCTTCACTGTTCTTTTACCAGAACAGCACTTTTTGAATCCTGACAACTTCATACAGTTGAACTATGTATCAATTCAGCAGTACCTTTGCTTTATAGAGATGGAGACAAACAAGGTAAAAAAACAACAAATAAGGACTCCACGATGAGCATTCAGCTCATGATTTTCAGGAGAATATTACTACTGTTGCTATTTAAGTCAAACAATAATTTCTGGCTAACATATTTGGAAATATTTTTACAATGTATCATAATGGAATTCAAGTGCTGTGAGTACATAAAAACGCTGCCCAACCTTTCTCTAAAGGCAAACTGGATTATCACTCAGCCATCTAAAGAGAGAATCCCTTTGCAAGAATTGACCTTGCTAACAGACACTGTCACTAACTTGATCAAACGATGAAATTAGAAATGTGGACAAAGGAAGATCAAATAATCAAGACAGGTGATCAAAAAATCAGGAAAATTTCGTACGCTCTTTTTTTCCAAGCCAGGGGTTGTTTGGGTTTTGTTTTGTTTTGCTTTTTAGTGATCGCTCTTGTTAGCAGAGAATTTACTCCTACAACTACCTGTAGGCACATGAGTTGTCTTACTGAAATCAGCTGGACTTCATTTTACAGGGTGCTTTTAGCAGATGTTTAATGTTTACTACAAAGCATGCATTTAACAGTTCTTCTGAACTGGTGCAATAGCTCTCATCAGCTGCCAAAATCTAAATGGCAACTCACATACTTGCAGCGAAGCACATACTTAAATGTTTTGCCCTGTACTGGATGCACAATGTGAATGTAAATGTTATATATAGATGTCTCTCAATGCAAAAAAAAAAAAAAAAATCACTGCTTGAAACAGACTCCACGGAACCTACCTCTGCTGTTCTAATGTTTTTTCTCAGCATGGGGAGACTTTGGTTACTTGCTCATTCCTCCCTTCCCTTGTATGAGAAGATTTATTTTAAAAAGAAATACTGAACACACAGCTGTCATGAAGATTTATAGATAACTCCTTTAGAAAGAAGCTAAGCGATTTTAGACTATTGCACTGCCTTTTCTCATTTTTCTTTGAAATGTAATTTTGATACCATGTAACCAGAAAAAAAGCTCTTCTGCTCTGAAAGAAAACTGTATCAAAGGGGAGAAAATTCTGTATTCTCTGCAAAGATGAAAAATCTCACAGACCAGTTTTATTGTAAACATTTTCATAATACTGTCGTGCAGTAGGTAAATGGAATTTCTATTCATTACTCTCTGATAAATCCTATCTCCAGCATCTAAAAATAAAGACACATTGGTAGAACAGCCACAAAGCCCTAGGTTTCTGAACAGAAAAGCTATTTATTGTTGTTATGGTTTTAAATCATGTTCAACAAAATATGATGAAAATGAAAGGTAGGAATATCCAGTAAATGAAAACTTTTTTATAATAATAAGAGAAAAAATTACAATGTGTGTGCTTGCCATTCATATAGTAGAGTTATCAAAAAATGATAGTTAATAGCTCTTTTTCTTCAAAGTAATCTTTCCTTTAAGTCTCAACATTGCAGAAAAGCATTTCTAAACTGCAGTGGAACTCTGACTACTTATTATTTCTTGAAATGCCTCAGCCAGGCACTTTATAATTTTCAGCAGTAATACCTATATGCACTGGAATGAGAAGACACCATCAAAAAGATATCCACAAATCTCTTCTGCGTGGTAGGGAAAAGGGGGAGTGATATCATCCCATGTTAATCACTGGGCAGCATTTGGACCATAATCTCTACATCAATCAGCAACACTGGGGTTGCTTTAAAAATTAGGTGAATATTAAAAGTGGAAAGTGAAATATACTCAGCAAGAAGGTCTCCCCATTCCATAAAGTTAATGATATTGATCAGCTTTGAGAGAGAGGAGCATTAGAACAATCTTCCACTGAACAGTGTTGGCGAATTGGAGTTCAAATCTCTATCATTTGAAGGTGTGAAGGGAGAACTAAATATCTGCTTAACAGCTTTTTTTCCAAGAGTTTGCTGTGAACAGTATAAATGAATAGATGTCTTCTGAAACCAGTATTTTGGATACTGTAGATGACTCTGAAAATGGTCACTGCTTCTTCCCCCTCTCTTCTTTGGAATCATTTCTAAGAGCAGCAGAAAAGGAACAGTATGGGAGCATACCAGTCCTCTGAGTAAGAAGTATCAGTGTCGACTAACATTTTGTTTGTTTCTGTGTAGAATAATTTTTATTTCAAACATTTTATTCTGGAAAATGCCTAGCTCCTGTCAGCTGTAAAATTTTCCACTCCATGTATCAATCTCAGTTGTATATCTACTAATGACTAAGTCATTTTAATGATGTGTTCATCCTCTCTTTTGTCTGGCTCCTTTTGCAGACTAACAAATGGTACACCCCCTTTGAAAGGAGGTGTTTCACTTTGGTATGTAACACTGAAGTGTTTGATCACTCTTGCAGCTATATACTACATATGATTCAGTGTGACATGCTTTTTCCTAAGACAAAGATGAAAATTATGAGTGATGAGCTGGGCTGCTCAGTCAGTGGGATCCACTGTGTCCCCAAAAGTCTCCATGGTCCCATCCCCATGAATGGGTCAGTATCCATAGTCCCAATTCTAGCAGCTCGCTTCTAAATGCAAGGGCCTAATTTGACTCTTCTATTTTTATCTGAGGGACACGACAGCTCCACAGAATGTATTACCCTTCCTTGCACCACTGTTTGAGAATTATGTCAATGTTATAAGAGGAAGGTGTCCATTCAGTCCATGAACTAGAAAACCTGGAGTCATCAATGAAAGTAAGTACATGATGCCGACTGGGCTGGAAATCGCGACCGAGATCTTGTTAAAATTATTTCTAAGGAATAAAAAGCTGAGGAGAATCAAGACAGATGCATTATTTTCATTCCCAGGTGGTCAGTCCTTAAAAGAAGGCTTCAAGGTTCAATTTAAGTTTTTGACACGTTCATGGCTTTGATGAATAATTGATAAACTAAAAATAGGTACAAACCGTACATAAACAGCTGCCTACAAAGAAGTAGCAGCGCAAAAGAAATATTCCATTTCATATGACTAGCATGAGGAAGGAACCTCATGGACGGTTTTGGGTTAGACCTCACTCTAAATTCAAACATTTTTATTCTGATAGAAGTAACGTCCATAGTGAAATTAGTAAAACAGGTAGTAAAAGATATTTGGTAGGGGAAGATAAGTTTCCACCAGTGATGGCCATGTCAAGAAACTTCCTGGAGAGACTAGAATAGGAGAAGGAAATATACTGTACTATGTCAGGTTTTGTCTGCACACACAATGATCCTGGAGAGGGAAGTAAAGGAGTTAAATTCTAAGAGGCTTTTCTGTGGCAGAACAGGTATTCCTTGGCAAAGAGCACCACAGCACAGCTTGGGGTAATTATGGGGAACAGGTTTCCTCTCTATATTAGAGACCATCTCCAGCTCAGCTTGCTCTACTTCATTGTTGGAGGACTGAGAGGATGTAAGGTACGAGCCAATTGACAAAAAAATCATCTGCTTTTTTTTTTTTTTTTAAATCTTGTACTGGCAGGACAGGAACATTAAAATACAATTCTGGGTAGACAGAGATGTTATTGTAAGAGTAGAAAAAGGAAGGTAGATCCACAAGGACTATAAGTATATCTGAATAACTTCTAACGTTTACAGACTTAAGGAAGGCAAACATAACCAGGACTGGTAGAAGAATTAGGACACAGCAAATATTTCAGCCTTATTAACAGTAATGGATCAATCCATTTTCCTATTTACACTCTGTGCAGCACAACTGAAGTCGATGAGCTTGCAGGGATATATCCGCAGGGAAAATCTGGCCGGGTATATAAACACTACCAAATAATTGTGTTTATTTGAAGCATCCTACAGCCTTTTCATCTGCTGAGCCACAAACTGAAATCACAACGTTTCATTTAGGTTCAAATTATGCAAATTATGGCACATCCTAGAAGATAAGTACATATTTCTAATCTGATACAAAATGATCAACTTACATCAGAATTAAATCTCAGCTGGCAAATGTTGCATGATATGATTTGCTTTCTTCGATGAGGAAGAGGAACCCCAAATGTATGATTTATTACAGCCTTTTGAATTGGGTCCATCTGTAAAGAGAGAAGGAAAAGAAAAATAAAAGCTTTTGCTGTTCCACTGTATGCTATGTCATCTATAGTCTCAAAACAGATCATGCCATACCATACCTCACACTACAGAAAACTATTATTTTTCTTTAAAAATGAATATTTCTTCTTCATGCAGTTTTACAAACAGGTAATACAGAAAGGAACAAAGAAAAGTGTCATTAGCTATCTTGAAATACATATCCTTAGTTCAATTCTATATGCACCAATCTCCCTTTTCTGAAGAAAGCTAAAAGCTGTAAATGCTGAACAAGTTTACCTATCAAAACACTAATTTATGGTTTTTGTATCATAGAAAAGCTAGCTCACTAAATGAAACAAGAATATTTTAAATAAAATTACTAAGAAAAGGATCAGTGGAAATGTGAAGGAATATTATATACAAACAATTCCAGAATAACACACAATAGCTCAGTATTATGAAAAAAATAATGATTTCCCAGGAATCAATAAATTAATCTTTTCTGTAAAACAACTTCTGCACAACCTATGAAAAATCCAAATCCTCCAAAGATTATTTTCACAGTCATTTAGAAGAAACTATTTTGAATAAACCCTACTTTAAGAATGAATTTTGACTTCCATGAAAAGCATTATTCTGAACTAACCTGTACCAGAATGCTGATCTGGCAGTGTTCGCAAGTCAGGATCACATAAAAAAATGTATCATTTTGGCAGAGAATTTCACAAAAGCTACTCAAGAGACTTTTTTACATGGAGGATTGAAATCAAATTCCCCAAATTTATTGGTCAAAATTATTTATATTTCTTTTTCACAAGAAGCACTTGACAGCTATTTTTAAAAGCTAGTAATAGCTTAACAGCAACTTGGTAAAGCCACTGATAGTTTTTATCTTTAAATTGTATTGTTAAAAATTCAGAGATTTTGATGATGCAAATACAACTAATTGTCTAACTGATGATAACCAATATTCACACACAGCACAACTTGTATGTGTCTGGAAAAAAAAAAAAACCTTTTTCTGTGCTCATGTCCCCATGATTCACTTTTTTTCTAGTCTGTTAGCAAAGGGTTATTTGATAAATAAAGAATCAGAGATTTTCCTTAGAGTAATCAATTATTCATGGAAGCTGTAATGGTAGACAGTCATGGCCTCTATTGCAGTGAATCCAGAACAGATCACTACAGAAATTTTGTATCACCTGACAGCTGTTCAGTGTCAGATATGAAATAGGTCATTAAACTAATTCCTGTTGAAAAGAAGTTCAGATTGGTAAAAAAAAAGGAACATGCAATATAGCAGAGCTTTATAGAAAGGTTTGGAAGAAATGCTCGGTTTGAACATCCTCTTCCATTTGGTGTGAAAGTGAAATACCTCATACATTTGTGCAATTACCAGCATAGACGAACACCAGTCCTACCTAGAAACTAGGGATGCCACTGTAACAGAACACTAAAATAACACTGATGCCTAAGGTCAGAATAGACCAAGCTCTGAAACACTACAGCATGCTGTGTAAGACTTTCTGCAGTGCTCAAACTATGTGCTAGAAGCATTCATTTTACTCAGTAACATGATCTTGAAAAAGCCCACCGTCCAAAAATACTATTGTATAGACCAGAAAGAACACCACCACATAAAAAAAGTAAATAGACAGCTCTTCTTTTTTCAACTGCTCCCCTACCCAAGAGGTGACTTCTTATGCCAGCAGAACCAATTGACCTGTATCCTGTGATTTTCAACACTAAAGCATAACCCGGTCTTAACTGACACTATTTCATTGCTGCTGAAGTTTGGAGAAATTTAGGCACTGTTCCTTTCGTCACTGCAGGTCTAAAATACTTAGAGAAACATCAACCTCAGATATATGAATAAGTCTGCACATGGTAACAAGAAACTGTGCATTCTTTGATCTAGTGTTACCCGTTTGCCTTCACATTAACCACAGCTGTGAGATACCACTAGTTTAGCCTTCAGTGTTAACATGTTAAACTCTTTCACGTTATCTCACAAGTGCCACAAGTTAATGTTGTGGTTTAACCCGGCAGGCAGCTAAACACCACACAGCTGTTCACTCATTCTTCCCCCCGCTGGGATGGGGGAGACAATCAGAAGAGTAAAAGTGAGAAAATTCATGGGTTGAGATAAAGACAGTTTAATAGGTAAAGCAAAAGCCACGCATGCAAGCAAAGCAAAGCAAGGAATTCATTCACTACTTCCCACTGGCAGGCAGGGGTTCAATCATCTCCAGGAAAGCAGGGCTCCATCACGTGTAACTGGTACTGGGGAAGACAAACGCCATCACTCTGAACATGTCCCCCCACCTTCCTCCTCCTTCCCCCAGCTTTATATGCTGAGCATGATGTCATATAGTATGGTATATTCCTTTGGTCAGTTGGGGTCAGCTGTCCCAGTTGTGTCCGCTCCCAGCTACTTGTGCACCCCCAGCCTACTCGCTGGTGGGGTGGTGTAAGAAGCAGAAAAGGCCTTGACTGTGTGTAAGCACTGCTCAGCAGTAACTAAAACATCCCTGTATTCTCTATACTGTTTCCAGCACAAATCAAAAACATAGCCCCATACGAGCTACTATAAAGAAAATTAACTCTATCCCAGCCAAAACCAGAACAGTTAAAAAAGCCAACAAAGAAGTTCTCTAAGGGATATATGAAAGGTACCACCATGGTTCATAAGATGGAACAACTCATTTTTTGAGTTGGATTTACCCATCTTCACAGTAAGAATTCTAGCACCAAATGGGGTTGGATTTCTGGGGGAACTGATGCTCGCGTATTGATAATGAGACAAATAATTTTTCAGAATTGAGAAAAATCATGAACATGTGGAATAGTTGGTCTATTTTGCATTTAATTTTATTTTGGTCTCATGGAAAAATGTGGAGTTTCTTTCCTAGTCACTCCACAGTTTTTCTCTTGTTTATCTGCTGATACAGAAATCCACCTGCACCCTTCCCTTTCTCTTTCTAAAGATGCAGACTTCTAGATATATAGCTACATGGCCTTATTGTGAACTGAATGATTTGTGTTTGTGGCTCTAAATGAAGCAGTGTTCTGGATAGCCTCCAAGTCGATTAAGAAAAGCTGCTTCAAAGTAAGAATCCCTTCTCTGCCAATTGTTCTTTGATACTGCAAAGCAGAATTAAACTTCAAAACTTAGCCCCAGATTCTAATAAAGTTGGGGCAGAATGCTGGAGTGTTATTTGACATTATTATTTTTTCCTGGAGATTTCATTTGGGAAATACCACCAATCCATACATTTCAAATAAACATCCAAAAGCACCAGATAAGCCTCCAGAAGTTTTATGCAGGAAATTCGAGAGAGGTAACAGGATGCTGAGGTGCAGCACAATAAGCACTCAGATCTCACAGACACTGGAAGACAGAGAGGAGCCCTGCTGAGAGTCAGAGGAACAGAGAGAGGCAGCTGATTGCCAGAAAATAGAGAGCAAGGATTGCAGGGAAGTATAAAGAGGGAAATAATATCATGTAGCTGAGATAATCAGCAAGTGGTGAGATACTTAACAGAATCTCCAAGTACTTCTAGGCTTACTGAATGTTACTAATTACACATATAAATTGTATTTCAACTTATGTAAATGGTATTTGCTTTCAAAATAAAAGTTATCATGATGAACTTTGATAAAATCTGCTTTTTACTTGTTACTAGTGCTGTATTACAATCGCTGGGTTTTAATTTTATTTCTTAGATGCAACTGATTTAATTTACTCCCATTTACAGTGAAGGACAGAGAGGTTTACAATTCACATGGAAGATTATGATTCAGCTGTCAAAGCTGTGCAGGAGAGCAAGATTTGCAAAAGGTCTACTTCCTTTCGCCAAGTGATTTGCACTGCAAGTTACAACACAAAAAGGGCAAGCTGCCCTGTGTTTGACTTGTTCACTACCTTTTGCTTTTCTATCCAGCACTAGGTATCTCTTACTATTCAGCACAGGCTGTGCGCACACTTTTCCTTGTGGTCAGTCCAGGGTTAGCACATTGCTCAAGGTTCACTGCAAAGCACAAGGTAACTGCTAGTTTGGGCTATGAAGATAAATATGAAAGGTTTCATATTTCATTCAATTAATTTTTGTTTTCAATACATAAAATGCACAGCAATAATATCATCTATTTTTTAATTATTCAAGCTGAAATTTGTGGCAACATGATATTATTTACTTTATTTGATGAAATACTGTACTCTCTTCCCAAGATCTTCCGGGGCTTACCATACTTCAGCAAAATCCAGGCTTAAACCAATGGCATGGCAGAAGTTGGCCCGTTACTCCATTTTCTTAGCTTTGACCTTACTGCTCTCATTTGGTTCTGCTTGCTTGTTTCAAATTCAACCTTGTCAGACCAATGACCTTAGCCACGTTCTTCGTTGTTCTTGTGCTTACCATAGACCACAAAAAAGCTCTTTATATGTAAATTTTACATAATTTCCACAAATAATTACTATGTGTTTTTCTTTTTTTTGTGAAGAATTTTTTATGCTGAAACTGAAATTCAAACACATAGCTCTTCCTGAATTTCAACAATTTTTTAATATAAATAATTTTTATTAGTCCTTTTTATGTGACTTCTTATCCCAAATGCATAAGAGTATGCTTAAGTTAACAACAACCCAATACTAGCAAAGGAAAGCATGGAAGTTTGATCCATAAAGCCTCAAATCACAAAAGGATATAAACCGAAGGGAGTTATTTTTATTTTATTTATTTAATTGTGTATTAAAACCAAGGGGCATGACATGAGCATTTCAAATGCTTGAGGTTGGCAGTAAACTAATGGAATTGCACTAACGTCTATAAATAAAAGGATGAAGATAATGTGGATGCTCAGAGCTTGTTCAGAACATATGGTAGGCCTAAAACAATCAAATAAGTAAGAAAGTATTTTTACCTCAAAGCCAAAGAAATTAACTGCAAAAGATTGACTCAAATCACTATGGTCCTGTACTAAGTGAGCAGAAAAACATGTC